AAATCAAATGATATTTTGATCCAACTAATCAAGTAATTTTCATGACGACATTGAAGCAGCACCTAAAAAAACACATGAGGCAGCACCTAAAAAATAAACATCTAAAATATCTGGAAAATAAGCCAAAGGTAAGCACATTTCATAGAAAAATTTAAGTAAAGGAATTAATAGGGGAAATTTGTTTTTGGTTAGGATAAAGAACTGGTGGACATCGAAACTTTTTTGCATAGAGGCGATTAGGAAGCATCTTCATCTGCTTCTGAGGCGAGTGTGAGCTCTGCTTCATTTTACACATATTAGATTTAGTTGTCACAGATGGCCTAGAAGATGTAAGCAATGTAGCATTAAAACATGTAATAAATGAAATAAAAGTCATAGTCACTTTCGCTAGGCACAGCAATCGCTTCATGGACAGGTTACGGATGGAGCAGGAACGGGAGGGCAAGTCAGATGGTGAAGTGAAGCTTTTGGTACAATCCGTACTAACCAGATGAAATTCTGTCTACCATATGCTTAAAAGATTTACAGTAATGTCCCCACCTTCTTCTTCTTCACGTGCCATCTCCTCTAAGAAGGTTGGCAACCATCATGGCAATTCGCACTTTCGACGCCGCTGCTCTAAAGAGGTCAGCAGAAGTGCAGTTAAACCAAGCTCTCAAATTATTCAACCAGGAGATGCGTCTTCTTCCGCGACTCCTTCTACCCTGTATTCTTCCTTGCATTATTAATTGCAACAAGTTATAACGCTCGCCCCTCATAATATGTCCCAGATATTGCAGTTTTCTGACTTTAACTGTATTTAAGACCTCTTTATCTTTTCCCATTCTTCTCAACACCTCGACATTCGTGACTCTATCCAATGTCCCCATATATAGCTGCAATACTGGCAGATCCCTCGATTAAAAAAGCACCAATGATGATTTCTGGTTCGGATATAAAACTAATCACTGAAATTGTAACAATTTTATCACCTTTCGATGAGGCCACAAAGAAGATCTCTGGTTTCCAGTACATTACTGCTAGTCTTGTTATCCCCCTTGTCTATTATAGAAAGATCTTTAAAAAACCTCAAGTCAAATCTTAATACAGCCCAAAAGTTATGCCAAAGCTTATAACTAACCTTCAATAGGGGGGCACTAAGCTTTTACGAAACCCCCTGCTTTGCCATGCTACAATCAAGGACCCGAGGTTCAACAAACTATATCTGAATCCGTCTATAATGGAGACAGTCACATCCATTTTAGGCTCGGAAGCTAGGACGTACCATACCGAGAATAAAACCTCCTTCTAGAATAAAAAAGCCAAAGTGAGTTTAAAATCAAACCCTCTTTGCTCTTCACACGATCTGGAGTTGGTGAACAGTGGTTCCAGTTTAAGTTCTCAGGACACACGGATTCAAAGTTCTTTTCCAAATGAACTGACTCTATATCTGCAGCAGCCTTTGCTGCCGAGATTAAGTGTTCCGTTTTTATTCTGGGAGCAGAACAGAACCTTTATGCCAGGCTTGGCTTTTATAGCTAAAAAATACATGTCGTTGGTCGGAAGATCGGGGGCATCAGAGAGACTGGTGTCATCATTGAATGATATTGTGTCAGATGAGAGAAGCCGCTTAACCGACGAACATATATATGAACGAGTTTTTCTCAATAGGCTTCATGAAAAATACTGGCCAACATAATGTTAAATCCATTTTATATAATATAACCTATTTGTTACCTTCTAACCTATACTTTTTTACTTAAAATATTACTTCATTCTACTTATATTATACTTTAATCTTACGCTATATTATATTTAATGATAAATCAATAAATATATAATAATAATAAAATAATAAATAAATATAATAATTAATATAATAAAATGGTTTTATTAAAAATTGTGTTTTATTTATATTGATATTGATGTTCTTTCGATAATACTAATTTTGATCATATTGATATCGAGTCGAATGAAGTATCGCAAACTAAAGTGCATTGTAAATGTAACTTTGTAACATATTGGATTAAAAAAACCGAAAACCGGTTTTTGGAAAAACCGGTTTTTTCGGCTAGTTATAACCGCCAGGTTAAACCGTAAGCAAAAAAAAACCGGTTTAACCGAAAACCGGTGTTTTTGTCAAAAACCGCCATCCCTACTCCTGCGTCTTTTACTTTCGTTTTGCTTTTAATCCATGTGTTTGTTTGTTTGTCTATAAGTCTCACCTCGAGCATTAATCTTTTCATCACTCTTTGTGCTTTTACTATTTTATCCATATTTGACTTGGTGAGTATCTACGTCTGTGAACCATACGTGAGTATAGGGAGGATACACTGATCGTAAATTCTGGTTTTCAAATATTGTTTCATTTTAATGTTTTTCAAGATCCAACTCAGTTTTCCAAATCCTTCTTACGCTAACTTATTAGCGTTATAGGTCTGCTAATTTCGGCAGTTTGATTTTCTTTGTTAACTTTCATTATCTGTCCCAGGTAGATGTATTCGCTTACTGTTTCTAAATTTATGTCGTTTAACGTTATTTATCTAATGTTCGTTGTATCTGTCATTATTTTTGTTTTTTACAAATTCATCTTAAGACCTACTATTTCCGAAGTTTGAAATAGTTGCGTTATTATGGTCTATAGTTCTTCGAAACTTGTAGCGAATATTACAATGTCATCAGCGTATCGTAAATGACTCAGTTTTCTTCCATTAACATTTATTCTTTTATCTGCCACAGTTAACGTCTTTTAACTCGTCTTCCAGTCCAAGTGTAAATAGCTTTGGTGAGATAACATCTTACTGGCGAACTCCTCTGTTGATTGGTATAGCTTTGGTTTCGCATCTATTTGTGTTTTCATTGTAGCTTTCTTGTAAATATTATGTATGAGCATTCTGTATCGGGAGTCTATCCTGCAGTTGTTTATAGCTCTATCTCTTGCCCAAAGCTCTATGGAGTCAAATGCCTTTTCATAATCAACGAAGCCAATGTATAAGTTCATGTGATATTTATTGGCTTTCTCTATAAGAGTTCTGACTGTAAGAAGATGATCCGCAGTACTGTAACCCTTTCGGAATCCTGCCTGCTCTACCAGTTGATACATATCGAGTTTCGAAGTTAACCTGTTAATTATTACTCTCATAAACAGTTTGTTATTATGTTTCTTATGTATTAGGTAGCATTAGGGCGAACTTTCTGCAGTTTTCGTATAAATTCATTTACAGGAAACTTAAATTTCCTATCGGAAAGTCACCTACTAAAAGTAAAAATAGTTTTTTTTGGCAAAAATATATTCAAAAACCAAGCAACAAAAACAGGAATACACGTAATTTTTCTTTTTTGTCCTATAATTTTTTTACACTGAGGTATTCATGCCGGTTTCGTTCTTTTCACTCGTTAAACCATCTTCTGTTGGGCCATACACCTTCAAAATTACTACTTGTTTTTCAAATACTTATATGACCATTTTAAGTATTCTTTCATTTACAAATTCCTGCACCAGCGTTTGCTCTTTCTTGTTTTTTCACTCCTCTCCAGCAGTGAGAGACTCTGTCCACCGTTTCAGTTCCATTCTCTATTTAATTAAAAGTTATGCTGATATAAAATTATGCGCCATGACTCAGAAATCAATTTTTTTGATTAACAGAGGTTCGAAGTGTTGGTTTTAAGTCAATTTTAATAATATATATTTGTATAATATACAGAGTGTTACTCAATAAGTCCAACAAACTTTAGGGAGTGACCTTAGAGTGTTAGTGATTCCATAGTAAAGTAAATGATTATTGAGGAACAGGAGAATCACTAACAAAAGAATTTTGCTATCATCATGGCATGTGGTTGTCTTTTTAAAAACAAATTACAACTTATAATTTTTTCTGACCAATATTCTCAAGGAAATTGAAACGCCAACTTATTTTAACCTTCAATTATGGCTTATTCCCAATAAAATAGTATCTAATTTAAAATGCCACAAGAAAATAGCTTTAAAACAATACTGATGATATTGTTCTGATATAATTTACTGTTTGTATTTTGAGAACGATTTCCGAAGTGAAATTGAAACGTCAATAAACGTATTTTTACCTTTAATTGTGGCTTATTCCCAGTTAAATAGTAATTAATACTGATGATGTTTATCGCAATGTTATGCTACTGAGATATTTTAAATTAAAAATCACTTTTAATTTTTTTTTAATTTGTGACAAAAAATCTTCTTTCTTTTTTTTGCATAAAAGAGCCGTTTTTATCTGAATAAATTTTTATGAGAATGTATTATAACAATGTTTAGAGGTATTATTTTTTTGTATAAAAATGGCGCCATATATATAAAAAAAGAAGAAACAGTTTTTGTCATGAATTAAACTAACAATTTAAAACTAATTTTTAATTTAAAATATTTCAGTGGCGTACCAGTTTTTTCTTTAAAAAAAATTAAGATCATTACCTTATGAGCGCTAATAATGAATATAAAAATCTTATCATTATATGTAGATTTTATTTGCCGAGTTTAGAGCAAATTCAGCCTAAGAGTCATCGCTTTGTAAGAAAAATTTCGACACCCCATATTTCGAAAAACGAAGTTTTTTTATATGTCTAAGTTTAAAATGTCATTAATTTGCATTTAGTGACTTCCAGAAGTTTATTGTACTTATTTAATAACACCCTGAATATTATACAAATATGTATTATTGAAATGGACTAAAAACCAGCGTGGATGGATCAGCATGGCAAAAGCTATCTCTCTGCAACGTTTCAGCCCATTCAACTTAAACCACTTTTACATAAGAAAATTGCCGGGATCCTTTGTTATTATAAAAGCAAAATAATCTTTCCGATTTTCGAAACATAAGAAATTAGTTCATTAAATGTCATATTAAAAATCTATTATCTCACTGTTTAATACTTGGAAAACCACACGTCTAATGTCAGGCACCGGTCATAATATCTTTTTAATTACATCAAGTTAAAAAATTTATATAAATATAATATATAATTTTTTAATTGTTATATTTTGTATAACCATGAAAACTTTTGCGTTGTGTATCTTCGTTACAATTTTGGCTGTAGCTCTTGCAGGTAAAAAAGTCTTGTATACTTACATTATTATATTACATAATTATATAATTTAGGTGGTGTCCACAAATAACTTATTTCCTTTAGGCTAGATTCTTGAAGATATTCGCCAACGACTGGCATAATTTTAAAGATTATTTTTCTCTAATAACTTATTAGTATTCTAGTTCTTTTTTATTCTTCTAGACTTTTTCTCTGTTTCGAATTTCTTGTACCATCATCATTATTTAAATATTAGATACTGTATTTATTTTTCCCATATTTTTTTGGGGGTAATATATGGTGGAAGTTAATATTCATCCCTTTGCATCTAAATTTGATACTATCAATCTAGGATACTCTATTTTAGGCTTTTACCTTACTGCAGCAGAACTTATTTATTGTTAAAATCTCTGCAACATACATTAGAATTGTAATATTTTAGTAGTCGTACTCTTAGTTCTTAAATGAAGTATTGAAATATTAATGATTTTTACAGAATTTAATATTTATTTCCTCGTTATCATACTCTATCGAAGATGTTCCAGTTAAATACTCATATCTCTTAAATCCTTCTATGTATTTGTTTCCAGTCAGTCTGAAGACCGACATTAAATACTACGATTTTAAATTTTTCTTTGCTACTTGGACCGTTTGGCCGTATTCTTCGCTAATCTTTACTATTTTGTTTAGTAATCTTTGTATAAGTGGTTAAAATTATCTACAATAATGAGGGAATCGCCTTTTATGATCTTTTTAATTGGAATCCTGTTAAGTAATATATCAATTTTTTCTTCTTCTTCTTCAAGTTCCACTCCTATCGGAAATTGGAAATCATTCTGGCAATTATAATTTTGTTGGTTGCGCTCCTGAGTAGTTCAATTGAACTGCATTAAAACCATTCACGGAGATTGCGTAGCCACCAGATTTTACGTCTTCCTACTCTTCTTCTACCTTTGATTTTACTTTGCATTATATTCCTTAGTAGTTCGTACTTTTTACCTCTCATGATGTGCCCCAAGTATTCCAATTTCCTGATTTTTACGGAATTTAAAACTTCGCATTTTTTTCCTAGTTGTTCGACTTGTTCGTTTGTTTTGCGATCCATCCATGATATTTTCAAAATACGTCGGTAACACCACATTTCGAATGTTTCTAGGTTATTACTGTTAAATTTTTTAAGTATCCAAGCTTCAACTCCATACAAAAGGGTAGAGAAAATAAAACATCGAAGCATTCTTGTCCGGAGCGATATATTGATATCGCCATTACAAAAAAAGTTTTCTCATTCTAATAAAAGTTTACCGTGCAATTTCAATGCGGCATATTATTTCTTTTATCTGATCAGTATCTTCTGTGATCCATGCTCCAAGGTATTTGTACGAAGATATTTGTACAATTTCTGTATTATCTAGTACTAGCTTAACTTTGATGTTTTGTGCTTTTGTAAATACCATGAACTTGGTTTTCTTTAAATTTATTTTTAGTCCATAATCGTTGCAATATATATATATATTTAGTTATTCAGCAAGGTGTTGCAGTTCTTCTAGTGTTCCTGCCAGAAGAACGGTGTCGTCAGCATATCTTATGTTATTAAGTGGCTCACCGTTTATTATAAAGCCCTCACTGATCTCAGCAAGCGCTAATTCTGAGATGGCTTCACTGTATAAATTGAATAACAAGGGTGATAAAATACACCCTTGGCGGACCCCACGGCGAATCAGGATATCCTCGGTCAGTTCGTTTTCAACTTTCACTTTTGCTGTTTGGTTCCAATAGAGGTTACAGATGATTCTAATGTCTCTACTGTCTATGTTTTTATTCAATAAAATTTCTTTAAGCCGATTATGCTGCACTCCGTCAAATGCCTTCTCAAAAGCAATGAAACAGGCATATACTTCCTGAATAATATCTAAGCATCTCTGCAAAAGAATACTTACTGCAAACAGTGCATCTCGTGTTCCCAGTCCTTTCCTAAATCCCATTTTTGTATTACTTATGCCCTCATCTAATTCCTTATATATTCTATTGTGAATTACTTTTAAAAACAATTTCAAGACATGACTCATCAAGGCTTTGGTGCGATGTTCATTGCACTCCTTTACATTGGCTTTTTTGGGAAACAGTATGAATGTTGATTGGAGCCATTCTTTAGGTATTATACCTGTTCTATATATGGTACTGAATAGATCCAGAAGAAGATCAATAGATTCAGTATTCACAATTTTAAGTAATTCGATAGGAACTTCATCACTCCCGGGAGATTTACCACATTTAGCTTGTTTCATTGCATATTCAATTTCTTTTCGTATAATGTCAGGCCCAGTATCATCCTTAAATTCTTTTGGTGCTTCTGTTATCTCTTTTTCTTCAAAAAGTTGTGCTATATATTGTGTCCATATCTGCATTTTTTGCTTTATATCTGTTATAAGTACACCACTTTCATCTCTTAGTTGCCTAGCTTGAAGTATTTTTCTCGTTCTTGTTAATTCTCTAATTCTTTTATGCATGTTAAAAAAGTCATATTTTTCTCAATTTCTTCTAGTTCTTGGCACTGCTCATGTAACATTCTCTCCTTAGCTTCTTTTATTCTCTTTTTAATTAATCGATCAGTTTCATTATATTTAATTGGATTTTTTGTTTTGAATGATTTTCTTTCATTCAATAATAGTAGCATTTCTTCAGTCATCCAGTCTTTATTTTTTCTATTCTTTGGTTTTGAGTTTTCATTTGCTGTTTTAATTATAGCTACTTTTATTCAGTTCTTGTGCATTACGTAGATTTTCAGTAAGAGTTTTGACAGTTTGTTCCTTTGTTTGTGGTTCCCTTAATCTCTTAATATCTATTCTACTTTGTGTGGGTTTTTTAACCAGTTTTAATTTGGTTCTTAATGTGACTACTATGGGGTTATGGTCTGAACCGATGTCTGCTCCAGGGTAAGTTTTGGCAGACAGTATAGAATTACAAAATCTTTTCTAATAAGGACAAAGTCAGTTTGATTTCGGATTATTCTATTCGTTGTATCACCGGGAGATTTTCATGTATACAATCTTCTTTTTGGTAGCTTAAAAAGTGTATTAGCTATTACAAATTCTTCCGTCTGGCAAAATTGTATCAAACGGTCACCACGTTCATTTCTATTTCCTAGACCATATTCCCCTACATATCCATCCACTCTTCCCTATATCAATTTACTTTGTGCTTATTTAAGATCTCCATTAGTTATGTGTTCTAAGTATAAGCTAAATAGTGCTGGCGACAGGATAAAACCTTGTGTGATTCCGTTTTATTTTTCTGTAGATTTTTCCTTATATTGTTGTTTTTCTGACATTAGTAATGGTTTTCATACTAAGTAAGGTATATATAAGGTATATAGTATTTATATGTTTATATAATCTTTTATCTTGAACATTTTTTGTAAGATGTCTATGCTCCACTCCGTGAAATCTTGTTTAGATTCCCAGTTTTGATCTATAAGATGTACGCCAGCATACATTTGATTTTAGGAAGGTTTTTAGCGTTAATAGACTTTTACTCCGTGTTATGTTACAAGACCTCCGTACGAGGTCTGACCAAAAGTAGTGTTTATTAACTCGAATTCGAATGTCTAAGTTCGGTTTTCGGTTATAGATAATTTGCTTCCATTTATTGTATATTGTTTCTAGCCCGACCTATTTGTATTTTTATTTCTATATTTGGATCCCACTTATCATTTAGTACCACTCCTTATTATCTGAATTTGTAAATTTAATCTAATTGAGTGTTTTAGTTTTATGTTGTTATCATCTATTAGTTTTATAATACTTATTTCTATTTTATCTGGTCCATTTTTTTCCATTTTTTTACGTTGTATTGGATATTTTACCTCTACGACTAGGATTGTGGGTCCTCCCATCTCCCACGTGGGCGTCTTTTGCAATTCAGGTCTGTCATCCGCAAAGGATTATTATTAGAATTATTATTTCTTTGCTGTCAACTAGAGTGGGTATATTAGGTTTCTTGGTAATATAGAAGGTTACCTTTAATTTTTTGTTGAGGTTGAATGTATCATGTTTGTTGTCTAGGTTTTCTATCTTGTCACAATGACATATTTCATTTAACCACTTTTATTTTGCTTTTTGATTTTAGAATTTATGAAACTTCGGATTTATTTATATAGATGTGGGTTGTCTTTGTGATTTTTTTCTCTTCCATGAGGTTTAATATTTCTTTTGTCATGTATTTTTTCCGTTTCTTACTTTTCGTATTCTTAAGTTTCTCTTTGTGGATAGTTAAAGGATAGTTTTAAGGATATTTTTTTAAGGTCTTCATTAAGTTTATTTGCTCTCTTTTGTTTATTAGCTTCGTTTCGAAGTATTTCAATATTACACTTCTTTTTTTTGTTTCTGTTTGTTTCGGTGTGTTGTTTTTAGTGTTTATTTGGGATTAATAATGACTGGATGGTAGTCTGATCCTACGTTGGGAAAGTTTTTGCACTTTAGATACTTGATTTAAATGTATGATTAATTAAAACAAAATCAATTTAATTTTTTACAATCTTCTGAGTTTACAAAATTTCTTATAATGATTTAAGATGTTAAAGTTACCGTTGGATTAGGTAACATGGCGACATATGACTCAACGTTGAGGAGCAACTGTTGCTCCCATACAGTCCTCGAAGACACACCGTCTCAGGACTAGCAACTTCAACGTGGAGTCATATGTCGCCATGTTACCTAATCCAACGGTAACTTTAACATCTTAATCATTATAAGAAATTTTGTAAACTAAATGTAATTAATTATTTGTTAACGGGTTTTTACCCATATATTTAGTGGCTACATTCATGTACTCCTAGACACTGATGATGGAATATGGATTCCGAAAACGTTTTGTCTGTTTAACTTAGCCCGTTTGGGTTTTTAAATATATACCTTTTACAAAGGATTTTTAATAAATTTTTTAATATATGGTATACAGCCAACTACAGGAACGTAGATTCCTTGTGGATGATCAGTTATTTATTTTTTTTTCTGCCGATTTTTTTGCAATAAAATCGCCTATACAATCCAATCGCCATTCTTCTACGACATTCATTAGATTAAGTATAGTGTTTTTATATTTAAGTTGTAGTAACGCTATCCATTTAAAGTAAGGAGTAAAGTTTTCTAGAGACCTATCCCAATGTTTTTGTGTATGGTAAATGCAACATCATATTATGTTGAGGACAGTTATTTTCTCCCACGGAGAAATAGATAATATGGTTATCAATTTTTAGTCTTTCTATACCGGGCCATCTTACTTCGCTCTGTCCTAATATTTCAATAGTATTCCTGTTCATTTCTTAAATTACATTATAGACCTTTCTTGCTTTAGTAGGCTTCGAATATTCCATATTTCAATTTTTATCGATTTTTTTATTATAGCAAGTCCAGAGATTAAAGTATTCTAATTGTTGGAAATGGATTTTGTTGAAAAGCCGCTGGCTGACCTTTAGCTCATTTAAAATTGAATTATTTGTCCTGTGGTTGGTTCGACTACAGATATAGTTAAAGTATTTACATATCGAGATTTATTTAATTGTTTTATGTAAAATCTAATTAAAATAAATATATATTTTTTGTAATATTGTTTTAGAGTGTCCTGCAAATTCTCACGAAGGATGCGTTCCTTGCTGTCCGAGTCCAACTTGTAGATATAGGAATCCAGAATGCCCTAAAGACAAAGTATGTACACAGCAATGTACGTTTACCTGTCTATGTAATAAGGGTTATATCTACGATGACATAGGATTTGTTGGTGGCTGTGTACGTCCCAAGGATTGTCCCAGAATTAAATAAATGGATTAAAGGAAAATAAAATAATAATAATTTGTGTAGTATGTAAATAAACGAAAATACTTTTTAAATATATTTTATATTGTTTCCTAAAATGTAATTATAATATGTAATCATTAAATAAAGAAGGATGGAGTAATAGAAAAACGAAAACTGGAAAATATACTGCTTCAGACCAAAAATGTGCTTTTTGATCAAAATAACGACTCATGCAACTAATGTTAAGTTACGCAGTAAAAATAAGTTGTAGAATATGATATCAGAACTGACAGCTAAAGGATAATCGAATTGGTTTATAGGCAAATTATTTATAAACAAAACATATGGCCTAGAACGATGAAAAGGTCTAATTTAAAAAAAAAACTAAATATATCTAAAGTGAGACATTTATTTTTATCAAATTACAAGAATGATCCATTAAACATAATGAAATAGCTGGCAGTTAACGTCTAAAATACGACTACAGTTTTGCGATACTGACTCGAATCCGAGTCGTGAGCACATGGCTAAGCGAAGTCGAATCCTGAGTCCCTTTTATGAATCTAAAATAACTGAAATTAAGTTGAGTTTTAGTAAATCTTCTTCTTCCGCCTTTATTTATTCATTGTTGGACATAGGCCTCCTCCAATTACTTCCACGCTTCCCTATCTTTTGCAATTCTCATCCACTGCTTTCCAACTACAGCTGTTATATCGTCTATACATCTCTTTTTGGGTCTTCCCACGCTTCTTTTTGTTTTCTCGAGGTCTCCAAATGTCACTTAATGAGACCATCTGTTGGTGTCTTGTCTTGCTACATGTGCTACCCATTGCCATCTCAATGTCGCTATTTTTCCCATGATGTCGGTTACTTTAGTTCTTCGACGTATTTCGGTGTTAGGAATTTTGTCTCTGAGGCTTATATTTAACATGGCCCTCTCCATGGTCCGTTGAGTACTCTCATTATTCTGCCATTTTTCTTGTTATTGCCATAGTTTCCAATCCATAAGTTGCAACTGGTAGTATACAAGTGTCATAGGTTTTTCGTTTTAAGTGTATTGGGATTTTTCTATGTTTTAAAGTGAAGCTCAACTTACCAAAGCAGCCCATGACAATTGTGTCGTTCTCTTAATTTCTAGGGTTTGATTTTCCTTTTCTTCGTTTTTAATTGCATGTTCTAGATATATATATATATATATATATTATATATATATATATATATATATATATATATTATATATATATATATATATATATTTATATATATATATATATATATATATATATATATATATATTTATATATAAATATATATATATATATATATATATTATATATATATATATATTATATATATTTATATATATATATACATATATATATATATATATACATATATATATTTATATATATATATATATATATATATATATTATATATATATATATATTATATATATATATATGTATATATATATATGTGTGTAAATACTTTTTTCTTCTTGGGTGTGGTAGTCAATAAAAAATAGAGCTTTGCTAAGGCGTACTATTTATTCTGAAATCCGAGCTTTCGGTGGTTGTTTGCCACCTTTATCAAGGTCTACAATGAAAATTACTGTGTTATAAACTTTGGCTGATGCAATATAAAAGTTATAAAAACTTACCAGAAAGTAAGATTCATAGCATATAAAACACAACGTTAAATAACATAATGTGATCTGAATTACTGAAGGCATTAAAACTGTTAAAAATTTTAAAATAACTTAAAAATTAAAGAACATGTTACAAAGTTTAAAATGTAAAAAATAAGACGACATGTTTGACAAAAAACAGTCGTCTTCGCAGGTTTGAATTCAGTCACATCTCACGAACAGAAAGAGGCAGTAGGAGGAACTATTGTTGTTTAAATAGTTCGATGTAACTACAAAAAACAAACTTTCAAACTGATGTCTAACAAAATACCGTTTGTGATTTTAAGTACTACCAACCATATTACCAACTTTAAATTGAGAGGGAAATTTAAAAAAGTTCATTATGTCAAACAATAAAAAGAAAATAGTATTTAGTAAGTAGGTTTAGAAAAAACAAACAACCAAAAACAAAATGAACCATCTGAATAATAACTGAAGTTAATCATGATAATTATAGCAATTAATAAAGGAATTTAAGAAACAAGACAGGAAACACTCTGAGATGCAGAAGACCCTAGTCAAAAGTCAAAATAAAATTGTAAATTTTGCTAAGATTCTGGATCTCAGATCTTTTATTCAGATTGTTGTTATCACTCCTGCTGATATGTACCATTTCTAAGAATGTTCTCTTAAATTTATTTTTCTCTCTGGCTAATATTTTTACATTGTTGAAATCTATCTTATGGTCTAGATCGATAGTATGTTCTGCCAAAGCACAAGTGGGTTTATTTAGTCTACAGTCACTCTTATGAGAAATGATACGACTAGACAGATTTCTTCCAGTTTCACCAATGTACGTGGATGGACATTCAGTACATTGAATGCAATAAACAACATCTCTTGACTCTAAAGTAGTTAGGGGTTGTTTTATTTTGCTATACAGCTGACGTATGGTTTTGATGTTCTTGTTAGCTATTTTGATGTTCTTAAATTCTTTGAAAATTTTAGTAAGTTCTACGGTTAGTTTTGGAATATACGGAAGGGCATAAAAATACACACTTGTTTGAGAAGAATTGTTTTGTGCTGAGGGCACTGATTGTGAATTAGTGAGAATGTTATTTCTGTTAACAAATGGAACATTAAAAATTAATTTATTAATCAGTCTTAGAGGATATGAATTTTCAACAAAAATATTCCGTAAGATTTTAAGATAATGTTGGAGATAATCTGGATGTGAAGTTTGTCTACAGTCACTCTTATGAGAAATGATACGACTAGACAGATTTCTTCCAGTTTCACCAATGTACGTGGATGGACATTCAGTACATTGAATGCAATAAACAACATCTCTTGACTCTAAAGTAGTAAACAGTGAGTCAGCAAAATCGCTCCCCTTATGTGTGGTTGAGGGGAGAACATTTTTAGTGAAATCTACTATACTGGAAAACGTGACGATGACGTTGCAGTATTTTATACTTCACAGATTCTGCCTTTCTCTCTTTCGTTTTCGTTGAATACCTAATATGAAAATATCAAAGATTTTACATTTTATCTTTTTAATTTTGCTTGAAATATGACAGCACTACATGGCCGAGAATAGCATTAGATACGCACTTATGTCATAAATATGACACTAACGAAAACTCTTTGTTCTATGGTATCACTGATTATCAAAGTATCTGATGCTTTTTCACCAAACTTAAAAACGACGATTAATTAACATCAGTTTAATTTATTAATAATAACAAAAAAATAAGTACATTAAAAATATATTAACTTACTGTTATTCTAAGGAAAACCAAATAATTTTAAAGTAGCTGCAAAACTCGTTTAAATCGTATTAATAAATTAGTTGTTAAACATTTCTTTATAAATAAGCTATATTATCTTATTGTATTAAAAACAATTAAAATAATGAAGAATAGTCTAGTGTTGTGCTTCGTTGCGCTATTTTCTGTTGCATTTGCAGGTAATACTAACAATGAATTGTCATAAAATGGCCGTTTGTGAAATATAGTACATAATTTTTTTACAATATTTTTTAAAAATAAGTAATTAAAATTAAAGAATTTTCATATTTTATAAATACAGTGAAACTTGGATAATTCGAACCTCAAGGGACCGTTAAAAAAATTCGAATTATCCAAAAATTCGAATTAAAAATATATCCACAAAAAACAAAGATGCCTACAAAAACATCTGCAAACGATAAAAATCAACAATAGTTGACCATTTTTATCACTTGCAGATGTTTTCTGCAGAGACGAAATATTTTATCGTTTGCAGAATTATCCAAAAATTCGAATTAAAAATATATCCACAAAAAACAAAGATGCCTACAAAAACATATACAAATGATAAAAATCAACAATAGTTGTCCATTTTTATCGCTTGCAGATGTTTTCGTTACTATTTTTGCCCGAATTTTGTCAACCAAAAAAATGGGCCAACAAAATTAGGCCAGAATACCAATTAAAGCATTTGGAAGCTATAACAAATGGTCAATTATTGTCGATTTTTATCATTTGCAGGTTTTCTCATTGGTATTTTTGGCCAAATCTTAGCCGAAACAATCGGCAGATAAAAAATTCCCAGTGAGAACGCATCATTAAAACAATAAAACATTTTGTCTCAAAAAATTTATTGAAAATAAGAATACATATTTGTTACAATTAATGAAAATAGACTAATTTTTTCTAAAGAAATCCAAAATTTTTAGCTGCTTTTTAGAATTTAACGTCTCAGTAATGACAAACGATTCTAAGATGTTCAGTGAACTAAAAATAGAGTGACTTACATCATTTTTACTTTCAAAGTACCGTTTAAGTTGCGTAATATGGTGTGTTGCTTCGGCCGCACTCGGAACATGTATTTCTCCCGCAACTGATGATGCGTCGTCTTCATCACTCTCTTGTTTTTCATCATTGTACTTAAGCACTTCAGCGATGATCTCTGTATCAGTTATTTCACCACATACTGCAACATCTTCATCCACGTTGACAAAATCTTCATAAGAGATGGCAGGATCAGAAATGATGTCCCCCCAGCAGTCAACTGAAAGCAGCTCTTCTGTTAAATTGTCGTCTGTGTTCTCCTCCTTTTTTATGAAACCAGCTCTTTTGAAACAGTGTTTGATCGTTTCGGGTGTTACTTGGTCCCAAGCTTTCTTACACATTCGAGATGCTTGTAGAATGTCTAACTTTATTTTAAGTGTGTCACAATCTTCCATCAATATGTTTTCAACCAAAAAACGTCTGTAAAAATGTTTAAAATTTTTTATGACACCCTGGTCCATAGGCTGGAGAACTGAAGTCATGTTAGCAGGAAAAAAATAACTTTTACGAAAAGAAAAAA